TTTTTCCATTCAATTCTTTTTTATAGCTGTTGTCTACTATAGTCCCACTCAACTGGATTCTTTTTAATTTTTTATTTGTTAAATTTTTTTATTTGGTGAATTATTAAGTCTTTTACTGAAATGTATATTTTAAAAATGGTATCTCAAAAACTAAAAAAAAACTGTAGAAGAACAGGAACAAGAGTGAGCTGGAGAGGAGGAAATATCATTATATTCTTAGACATATATCTAAAAATCATATTGAATTTGTTAAAAATTAAATTAAAAAGAAAAAAATGTGGTATATATACACTGTGAAATACTACTCAGCCATAAAAATAATGAAACCCTTTCTTTTGCAACAAAATGGATACAACTGGAAGCCATACAGTTAGCGAAATAAGCCAGTCTCCAAAAAACCAATGTTTTCTCAGATATATAGTAATTAATACAGAATATAAAAAAACATATAAGAGTGAAAGAGACATCCTGTGATTTGATTGTTGTTTTTAGCCTTTGCTTATACTCTTTTGGAACTGTGGCCTTCCTACTTTTTACTCGTTGAATATTACAGTTGGTGGTGCAATAACCCTGTGATTATAGAGTAGACTGAAAGTATGCTTTTGCAAAAATTAAAGAAAAAAGGAAGGAAAGAAAAAAGGGGATTGAGGGAGGGAAAGGATGGAGGTGAATATGGTTATGTTCTTACAACTGTACCTATGGAATACATGAAATCTGTTCTCTTTATATTAATAAAAATTTTTTAAAAACATGATATTTTATCCCCTTCCAATATGTAGCAGAATAAGCAAACATAGTTAAAATCAGAAAATAAGGTCTACTTTAATCAGACAAGGAATGGATCATAAACTAAATGAACTTCAAAAACCAGTGCCCAAAGAAATAAAGAAAAAATTTTTTGTAGTACTTTATGCTGGACTCCCACAGAATTCATACTGGAAATTCAACAACATCCCGTGACCTTTAATGAATGTTCTCTACCCTGGAGAGGAGCCACCAGATTGGACGTATCCTTAGTTTTTCTTTCTCTTCACTCTTTGAAGACCTCTCTCTCTTTTTTTTTTTTTTTAAAGATTTGTTTATTTGAAAGGCAGAGTTACAGAGAGGCAGAGAGAGGCAGAGAGAGGCAGAGAGAGAGAGAGAGAGAGAGAGAGAGAGAGAGAGAAAGAGCTTCCATTCACTTGTTTACTCCCGAGATGGCTGCAACAGCCAGAGCTGTGCCGATGCCGATCTGAAGCCAGAAGCCAGGAGCCTCCTCCGGGTCTCCCACATAAGTGCAGGGGCCCAAGCACTTGGATAATCCTGCACTGCTTTCCCAGGCCATAGCAGAGAGCTGGATCGAAAGTGGAGCAGCCAGGACTCGAACCAGTGACCATATGGGATGCCGACACTGAAGGTGACGGCTTTACCCGCTGCAGCACAGCGCCGGCCCCAAGACCTCTCTTGGCCCAAGCTGCCCTCAACAATTTCCAGAACACCACAATGACTTTAGGAATACAACCTAGATACCTAGTGTCTGCACTCAACAAAAGTCCTGAAAGACAGTTCTCAAATTAAATCGTATAATAGCCCTACTCTGCTCAAAAAGAACTGAGATCTGCTCCTGGGTAGATAACCAGCATAAGTGATTTTGCATCGTGCCACAAAGTCTTTAAGAGTGTTTAGTAGGACCAGCATTGTGGTGTAGTGGGTTAAGCTGTCACTTGTGATGCTAGTAACCTAACATGGGTGCTAGTTTGTGTCCCAGCTGCTCCACTTCCAATCCAGCTCTCTACTAATGCAGCCAGGGAAGGGAGCTGAAAATAGCCCAAATCCTTGGGCCACTGCTACTCCCATGGAAGACCCAGAAGAGGCGTCTGGCTTCAGTCTGGCTCATCCCTGGCCACTGCGGCCCTTTGCGGAGTGAACCAGTAGATGAAAGATTTGTGTCTCTACTTCTCTCTCTGTAACTCTGCCTTTCAAATAATTAAATAAACCCTTAGTTTGTTGAAAATGGAATTACAAGATTGTCTTTAATAATGAAAAGAAAGTGTTAAGGGTAGCTTTCATTCAGAATAGCCCCATTTGAAAATAACCTTGTTAAGTTCACCAATCTGAGAAATGATCATATATTCATACAATATTCATATAGCAATGAAAATGAATGAACTATTGATGCATACAACGTGGATAAATTTCTCAGACAAAATGCTGGGCAGAAGCCAAGCCCAAAGCATTTTTAACAAATGGCTTCATTTGTTAAGTTCAAAATCAGGACAAAAAACATAAGAGTCAGAAGAATAGTTTCCATTGGGATGATACTGACCAGGAGGGAACAATGTGGGGGTGGAGGGCACTTCTGGGATATGACGGGTATTCATAACTTTGTGTGGTAGGCACAAATCCACTGAACTACGCACTGAAGATCTATGGACTTTATGAATGCTACTCCTCAGTATATAATGCAAGCAAGCGAAATAAAAGGCAGGCTGGTTTTCCATTTCATGCATTCTAAGTCACAGTTCTCACCATGGCCTAAAAGCCCTATTTGATCTGTTCCTTGTTCCATCTTTCTTTCCTCTCCTTCTATTCTCCCCCATGGATTGCGCCAATTAAACCCCACTGTGCTCTACATTCTGCCTGGAAATCACAAGGTATTTCCCGAGTTGCAGCCTCAACACTTATATTGGATTCTGAGGAAAGAAAGCAAGGTGAGCCAGATGTAACAAGAAGAAATTACTCACATTATGTCAGAGTAAAGACAATGTCAGAGAAGGGCCAGAGAAGCAGTTTTAAGATGAAATGAAAGAGAACAGTAACCTGGGAACTACAGGAAAATCTTCCATGCAAAAGACAAACAAGCACAACATAGATAAAATTATAATTCAAAGAACAGAAGGAATTTCTCAGACCTTCTTTTTGCTGTCAAACAAGATACTGAAAAACATGAATAAGAGTTTAGAATTGAGTTTCTGGCAATGACAGACTCTTTTGTATTGGATCAACATTCCTGAGAATGTGTAGAAAACTGAGATTTTTAACATGCATACATATGTGTGCGTGCATACACACACAATATCTGAAGGGATCAGAGAGCTATCAAGGCAATGAGTACTTGAGGAGCAAGACTTTATAAAGAGAGGTAGTACACACTGTTATTTGGCACCATTACTTTCCCTCCAGGCTTTTACTGATTAAAAAGCAATGGCAGCTGGCGCAGCGGCTCAATAGACTCATCCTCTGCCTTGCGGCGCCGGCACACCGGGTTCTAGTCCCAGTTGGGGTGCCGGATTCTGTCCCAGTTGCCCCTCTTCCAGGCCAGCTCTCTGCTGTGGCCAGGGAGTGCAGTGGAGGATGGCCCAAGTGCTTGGGCCCTGCACCCCCTGGGAGACCAGGAGGGGCACCTGGCTCCTGGCTTTGGATCAGCGCAGTGCGCCGGCCGCAGCGGCCATTGTGGGGTGAACCAACGGAAAAAGGAAGACCTTTCTCTCTCTCTCTCTCATTGTCCACTCTGCCTGTCAAAAAAAAAAAAAAAAAAAAAAAGCAATGGCAAGGCTGGCATTGTGGTATAGTGGGTAAAGCTGCCGCCTGTGATGCCGGCATCACATAGGGACACTGATTTGAGTCCCAGCTGCTCCTCTTCCAACATACCTGGGAAAGCAGCGGAAGACAGCCCAAGGGTTTGGGATCCTGCACCCATGTAGGAGACCTGGAGAAAGCTTCCGGCTTCGGACTGGCCCAACATTGGCTGTTGCAGCCATTTGGAGAGCAGAGGGAAGATCTCTTTCAAATAAATAAATCTCAAAAAAAGGAAAGAAGGGAGGGAGGGAGGGAGGAAGGGCAAAGCTATAAAGTTACGGATAAAATTGAAGCTTAATGAGAAAGAAGCTGAGCAGAACCTCTAGGAGCCTCGTATGCTAGGAGACAGCAATAGGAGTAAAGAGCCAGAGAGGAGGAGGAGACCTGAGCACTCAGTTGGGGTCACTAGAACGATAGACACCTCAAATACGGGATAACCATCCACTGCTACCCTTCATCCACAAAATGATTTGATTGTGCTCCATCTCTGTTGGAATTAAGGTGGTTTTCATTACTCTGTTCTCCAAAAGCAAAAATAAATCCTATATTCAGGAAAATATCATCACTGAAAGTTTCAACTGACCTTGACAGTATGTCACATCCAATGTCTGATATTGACTCAAAACTAATTCATCACGCAAAAAAATATGAAGAAGAAAGGAAAGGAGGAAAGTCAAAGGGAAGAGAAAAGAAGAAGAAAATGATTAAAAAAAAAAAGACAAGAAAATATTCGGCTAGGAAATCTAGATTTCTCAGATGAGGGAGTTAAAATAGGTGTGATTAATTCACTCGAGACACTAAGTGACACGGTGATGAATCCCAGCGCAGGCTGGAAGTTCTAAAGGAGAATCCAATGGAAATTCCAGAACTGAAATTAAGAATTCCAAGGCTGGTGAGGTTTCAGTACCGATCAGGCTTTTCAAGTTGCGAAACATCTTCATTCCTGTCCAAACAACAAAAAAGGGACAAACTAAAAGAAATGCCTTTTCTTTGATTACACTGAGGGGCTGTGGACACAGAGTGAGGTCTAAATGACCTCCCTCGCGGAGCCCGTCAAGCCGGCCTGGGGAGGGCTGACCAGCAGCCGTTTCCAGAGGTGGGAGCAGCTGCCCTGTCGTTTCCAGAGGTGGGAGCAGCAGCTGCCCTGTCGGGTGGGACCCGTTGGCTCAGCTGCTGGGGATCTTTCCGGAGTCAGGTGTTGGCTGTTAATTAACCCTTCAGGGATCGCTTCAGCTGCGGAGAGCCAGCATGCCCAAAGGCGTGCCTCCTTCTGTGCAAACACAAGTTACTTAACAGCGAGGGACTAAGGAAAGGGGCTGTTTAATAGTGAGGGACTCAGCACACACTACGTGTGTGCCTCCCCGGGCTGAGAAATACCCAACTTGAGTGGGCCAAAGAGTTAGCCTTAAATGAGAGAAAGGAAAAAAGAAAGAAAATGGTACCTCAACGTGAGTACTGGAGAGGGCCATTCCACATGGGTCAGCAAGGGAAAGAGAAAATAAGAGAGCAGTATGCCCCCAGCGCACTCCACCGTGGAACGCGTTCTCTTCCCTGCCTTCCACCTCTTTTTATAAGAAACGGGCGGTGCCCGCAAAGCGCTACGTATCAGAGTAGGGTCTGCGCATGCTCTGATCCTCTGTGGCAGCAGTGCATCCTGGGAAGGTGGACGTATCATGGCGACAGTTAAATAGCATCACTTTCCAGGAATACAGAGATCCAGGTTGCCTCAGCTTTAACTGTCTGGTTACTCCATATCGCTTGAGTCCTCATCACCCAGATGGGAGATAAGAAGAAGCCTGGAAAGGACCTGAGGTGGGCAGAACCATGCGGCCCTCAGTGCCCGCGTCCATGAGACCTGTGAAGATGTCAGGGTGCGGCTAAGGGAATTAAGGCTACTGATGGAAGGAAGAGGGCTGCTCAGCCGGCCTGAAGATGGGGATATTATTCTGGTTGGTTCTGGGTAATCACAGTGGTCCTTAACAGCAGAAGAGGGAAATGAAGAGAGAAGTCAGCATTTTGAGAATGGAGATGGACGTTGCTGACTCTCAGGGCGGAGCAAGGGGGCCATGACCGAGGAGTATTGGCCCAGAAGCTGAAACAAGGCAAGGACCCCAGTTCTCCGTCAGACCCTCCTGAAAGGAGTGCGGCCTGCTGAAACCCTGAGGTTAGCTCCCTGACGTCTGTGTGACCCTTGTGATAAACAGAAATGTACGATAATAAATGTACGATAATAAATAAGCCACCATGTTTATGACAGTTTGTTAAAGCAGCCGTGGAAAGGTAACACAAGCCCCAAATACTAAGCCAACCCCTCAAGATTCGACTATTCTGTGCTGCTTTTTTTGAATTAGTGGTGGTCGGAGACACTTTTGTCCCTTGGTCACACTCTGTTTGTATCATTAGCACTTAGCACTGCCCTGAGGGACCTGCTATCCCCTCCCAGACGCTTGAAACTAGATGATAAATTATTTGACTAACTTAGACCCAGCTGCCACTCAGCTCGACTCCTGACAAGATCAGAGATCCACTCCTCTGTGATCTGAGAGGCTGGGAAGGAGAGAGCGGAGTCACGGCCTTGTAATAGGCTGGTGCGTCCCCCGCAGTCCCGCTGGCCGTAGGGGCCTGCTGACCTCACTAGCCAGAGGACAGGATGTAAACGGAAGGCAGCCAAAGCTGAGCTGCTAGTAAAATCAACGAGATCATCCCCGCATTTAAGCTGCCTGGTGGAAAACCATGTTCCGTTTTGAGGAAAAGTATTTAGTCTCTACTTTTTTATATAGATCTGTCACAAAACTTAAAACACTGTAAGAAAATAAAGAAGCAAGAAAGTGTTATCTATAATCGGCAAGAAAATGTTTTCTATAATCTGGTTTTAAAACACTCACGGGATGAATACTTGGTCTGATGGCTAAGACATTGCTTGGAACACCTGCATTTAAGTGCCTGCATTCAAGTCACGAACCACTTCTGATTCCAGCTTCCTTCTAATACATACCCTGGGATGCAATGCGTAATGAGTCTAGTAGTTGAGTTCCGGTCACTCACATGAGAGACCCTCGCATGGTCCCAGCCCCAGATAGTGTGGGCATTTGGTAAATAAGCCAGCTTCTGGGAGATCTCTCTTTCTCTAGCACGCTCTTTCTCTGCCTTTCAAATAAAACAAAATCCATGGAAGTAGATCTGTAGACGCTGAGGACTCAAATTTTGGAATTAGAGAAATGACTTGGATAATCTCTTAAGATTAGAGAGAGACTGGGGAAGGCGCTGTGGCGTAGCAAGTAAAGCTGCCAAGCTGCCATCGGCAGCGCCAGCATCCCATATGGGCACCGGTTGGAGTCCCGGCTGCTCCATGTCCGATCCAGCCCTCTGCTATGGCCAGGAAAAGAAGTAGAACATGGCCCAAGTGCTTGGGCCCCTGCACCCACATGGGAAACCTGGAACAAGCTCCTGGCTCTTGGTTTTGTATCGGTGCAGCTCTGGCCATTGCGGCCAACTGGGAAGTGAACCAGTGGATGGAAGACCTATCTCTCTCTCTCTGCCTTTCCTTCTCTCTCTGTGTAACTCTTTCAAATAAATAAATAAATCTTTTTAAAAAAGATTGGAGATATTTAGGAAATAATGTCTAATTTATTTTAAGTTTATGATGTTTTCAGCTTTTTTCTCATCTATTAGACAGACACAAGTCCAAAATCTTGACAAGATTGGCATGTAGGTGGCAATACTGCAGGAAACAGGCACTTTCATACTTTGCTGGTCGGCATATAGAATGGTATTTTCTCAGGAAGGACAATGCATGTCTTCTTTATGAATTTCCCTTCTGAGAACTTACATCGAGAATACAACTTTAGCAACATGAAAATGCATATATAAAAGTTTGTTTATTGCTGCACTATTTGTTTTTTTTTAAAGATTTATTTATTTATTTGAAAGTCAGAGTTACACAAAGAGAGGAGAGGCAGAGAGAGTGCGCCGTCTTCCATCTGATGGTTCACCCCCCAGTTGGCCGCAGCAGCTGGAGCTGAGCCGATCTGAAGCCAGGAGCCAGGAGCCAGGAGCTTCTTCCAGGTCTCCTGTACCGGTGCAGGGGCCCAAGGACTTGGGCCATCTTCTCCTGCTTTCCCAGGCCATAGCAGAGAGCTGGATTGGAAGTGGAGCAGCTGGGACTAGAACTGGTGCCCATATGGGATGCTTCAGGCCAGGATGTGCCACAGCTGTGCCACAGCACCCGCCCCCTGCTGCACTATTTGTAACTAAAATATTGTAACCCACTTAAGTGATCAAATAAAAGACTGCATTTAAAGTTCAAGTTGAGGTTAATTTAAGAATCGAGAAATAAGAAAAATAATAGTTTTTGGGATAAACTATGGTACACATACATTATAGAGAATGGTAAGCTAGTGGTAAAAAATGAGAAAAATCTGTGTTAACTGAAAGGGAGAGATTTCCATAATTTAATTTTCAGTGAAAAATAATATATGTAAATTCACTGTCATTTGTGAAAGAAGAGAAAATAAGAAAACATGTTCGGATCTGTGTGTTTGCAAAAAGGAAAATGGAATGATAGTACAGCAACTAATGAAATGGGTTACCCACAGGGATGAAATTGAAAAGGTAAAGTTGAAAGGGCAAAGGAGAGAACAACACTTCTCTGAGGATATTTTACTGGGTAACGTGACTTTTAGATTTATGTTAATGCTCTGTATAGCCAGTAAAATGAAATAAAATTACAAAGCCCCAAACTAACTGCAAATGGTAACAAATGAAACTGTTTCAAATGAGTGAAGTAGTTTCCCCAAGGAAGAGTTGCTCTTCTTATTATGGTAAAATAGACATAATGTGTAATTTACCATTTTCACTATTTTCTAGTTCAGTGGCACTAAGTCCATTTGTGTTGCCAAGCCATCACTACCATGCATCTCCAGAACTCTTCCCATCTTGCGAAAGTGAAACTCTGTACCCATGAAACACCTCCTACTGTTCCCAGTCTCAGGCAACCCCCTTTTTACTTTTTTTTTTTTTCTTTTTGACAGAGTGGACAGTGAGAGAGAGAGACAGAGAGAAAGGTCTTCCTTTGCCGTTGGTTCACCCTCCAATGACCGCCACGGCCGGCACACTGCGGCCGGTGCACCGCGCTGATCCGAAGGCAGGAGCCAGGTGCTTCTCCTGGTCTCCCATGGGGTACAGGGCCCAAGCACTTGGGCCATCCTCCACTGCACTCCCGGGCCATAGCAGAGAGCTGGCCTGGAAGAGGGGCAACCGGGACAGAACCCGGCACCCCGACTGGGACTAGAACCCGGTGTGCCGGCACCACTAGGTGGAGGATTAGCCTGTTGAGCCACAGTGCCGGCCCCCTTTTTACTTTCTGTTTTGGTAAATTTGACCACTCTAGAAATCCCATGTGAGTGGAATCATATAGCATCTGCCCTCTTATGGTTGGTTTATTTCACTTAGTATAATGTCTTAAAGGTTCTCCAGGTTATAGCATGTATTAGCATTTTTTTTCCACTTTAAGGCTGAGTAATAATCTATTGTATATACAAGTGATGTGTTCTTTATCTGTTCATCAGATGGTAGACACTAGAATGACTTCCACTTTCTGGCTCTTGCAAATAATACTGCAATGGACATGGATGTACAGATGATTATTTGAGAACATGCTGTAAATTTAGGGGGCATGTACTCAGAGGATGTACTGAATCATATTGTAATTCTATTTAATATTTGAGGACCTGCCTCTCATTCTCTACATCAACTGCACCACTTAACATTCTCACCAGCCATGTTCAAGAGTTCCAATTACCTTTACCAACATGTCTTAGTCTTTGTTGTCTTTTTTTTTTAAAGTACCCAACCTAACGGATGTGAGGCAGAGTCTCATTGTACTTTTGATCTGATTGCCCTAGAAATTATGATATTGACTATCTTTTCATGTACTTTTTAATGAATGGTAAATGAATGTAAAAATGGTAAAATACATGTTATATCTATTTTTTATCATAATAAAAGGAGCAACTTTTCCTTGGGACTACTTGATTGATTTGAAAACACAAATGGTCATTTATATGTCTTTGATGGAGCAATGTTTATTCAAGTGCTTTCCCTATTTTTAAATTCTTTTGTTTGCCTTATTGTTGTTGAGTTGTAAGGTAATATATACAAAATATATACAAAGGCCGGCGCCGCGGCTCACTAGGCTAATCCTCCGCCTGGCGGCGCCGGCACACCGGGTTCTAGTCCCGGTCGGGGTGCCGGGTTCTGTCCCGGTTGCCCCTCTTCCAGGCCAGCTCTCTGCTGTGGCCAGGGAGTGCAGTGGAGGATGGCCCAAGTGCTTGGGCCCTGCACCCCATGGGAGACCAGGAAAAGCACCTGGCTCCTGGCTCCTGCCATCGGATCAGCACAGTGTGCTGGCCGCAGTGCACTGGCCGCGGTGGCCATTGGAGGGTGAACCAACGGCAAAGGAAGACCTTTCTCTCTGTCTCTCTCTCTCACTGTCCACTCTGCCTGTCAAAAAATAAAATAAATAAATAAATAAATAAACAAAATATATACAAAAATATATGTACAATAAATGCATAGATTATGGGCATTTGTT